TAAGTGAATTATGAAATGTGTGACCTCAATTGCTTTCAATCTACAAGTATCAGGCAGATGCATTAATTCTTTTATACCTGGACGTGGTGTAAGACAAGGGGATCCCTTGTCACCATACCTATTCATTCTAGTGGCTGAGGTTCTCTCCTCAATGATTCAATTTCATATTGATGCTAAAGATTTGAAGGGCATTAAAGTTGTGAGGAAAACTCCTATCTTGTCTCGTTGTTTTTTTTTTACAAATGATGCTATTCTGTTCTTGAATGCAGAAAAAGCAAATTGTTTAGTGATGAAGAAGATCTTGGATGTTTACTGTAATGCATCAGGTCAAGTGGTTAATTTTGACAAGTCATGCATTTATTTTTTTGTTAATACTCCCCCTGTTGTCAGGTCTAGTGTTTCTAGTTGTCTTGGTATGGAAGCTTCTACACAGCCTGGTAGATATTTGGGGTTATCTATGATTTGGGGTAGGTCTAAGGTTGCAGCTTTAGCTTTTATGAGGGATAAAATTGGTTTTAAATTGCAAGGATGGAGACAAAAGTTTCTCACTTTTGCTGTTAGGAAAACTTTAATTAAGGTTGTAGCTAATTCTATCCTTACATATCTTATGACTTGCTTTCTTTTTCCAAAAAAAGCGTGTAAGGGGATTGATAGCTTAGTGGTAAAATTTTGGTGGGTTTAGAATGGAGAGATTGGTGCCATTTATTGGAAGAGTTGGAAGGCCTTAACTAGTGGGAAGAATGAAGGAGGTATGGGTTTTCATGACTTAGAATGTTTTAACCAAGCATTGCTAGCAAAGACTGCTTAGAGATTGATACAAAATCACTCTAACTTATGGTGCAAAATTCTTAAGGGAAATTTTTTCCTAACAATGATTTTCTAAGGGCTAAGAAGGGTAGTCGAGCTTTTAGGGGATGTGAAAATTTAGAGATGGAAGAGATATAAAAGTTTGGGAGGATTCTTAGATTTCAAATCTAGTTGGTGGTAGGTTGTTAGGGGGTACAAGATTAGAAGCTAATAAGAAGCTCATAGTATGTGATTTGATTCAGAATGGTAGGTGGTCCTTGAGCTATATTGAAGGAAGGCTTTCTCAGTTGGAAAGGGAGATGATTTTGGAGATTCCCATTTCCAGTAAAGGTAGGCATGACTCTATCTTATGGCTTGGAAATAAGGATGGAGTTTACATAGTTAAGTCTAGATATAAAGTTGCTAAGGATTTAGAGGGGAAATTAAAGGTGAGGGATCCTACTGCAACTTTTATTGCTTCCAATCAATTATGGAAAAGTATTTGGAAGGTTATAGTACCTCCAAAGATCCATCAATTTTTGTGAAGGTTGGGATTAGGAGCTATAGCAACTAATGATGCTTTATTTAGGAAATCTTATGCACAAATTCCTTTATGTCCTATTTGTTGGACTGAGAGGGAATCGATAGAGCATCTTCTCTTTTTATGTCCTTGAGCTAAGAAGTGTTGGTTTGGCTATGACTTGGGGCTTCGGTTCAACAGGTGGAATGTGACAAGGATTGAAAGGTGGCTTGCAGATATGCTTGGAAATGATAGTAGTTACATGATTATGATAAAGCCATTTTATCTTCAATGTGTTGGTGGATATGGAAGAGTAGATGTAAATGGGTATTTGAAGGAGTAAGGGTTGATGTAGATAATGTGATTAAATTAATCAAAGCACAGGTTGATAGGTTCTAGAGAAGTAAATATGTTATTAGCAACAAGTATAAGCCTCTTAGTGTTTTGAAGGTTCAAAGGCTTAGGTGGGAGGCCTGTGCTACAGGATTTGTGAAGATTAATTTTGATGGTTCTTTTAAGGAGAAGACCAATGCTGCTGGTGTGGGATTGATTGGTAGAAATGAATTTGGTGTTTTTTTGGGAGGTATGAATAAGTCTAATCTAGTTCTACTTTTATGACAGAGTATTTGGGATTAAAGGAGGCTCTTTTGGTTTCTTTGAAGTTTATAGGTATTAAAGTTTGCTTGGTGATGGATTGTGAGTTCTTATTCATGATGATTTTGAATAATTCTTTGAAGGGCTATGATTGGAGATGCAAGGATCTATTGCAGGATATTTTGGAGTTGAAGGATTCGTTCAGTGATATTTTCTTTTCTTTGGTTGCTGGGGAAGGTAATAGGGCTACTAATTTTTTAGCAGTTGGTGCTGTAACGGAGATGTACCATGCTGAATGGCTGGTGTCTGTACCATCTCCTTTGGTCATAGTGTTGCGTGAGGATTTCTTGGGCTGTTTGGCAGATGTTTTGACAGGGATGGTATTGGTTAGTTTATTTTATATTAGTTGCATTGTTTTGGTTTTTTTTGTTTCTTTTGTTTTTATTTTTTTGGTTTAGTAGTGTATTAGGTTGTATCTAGGTTTTTTTGAGTGTTTTTTCTTGGCTTCAGCTATTAGTGATTGTAATTCTTTTTTATTAATAAAATTGACTTTTTTGGCAAAAAAAAAAAAAGACATGATCAATTGTGAGTTGTGACTATCCAAATATGCATGATGGATAGTCTTTATAACTCATTTGAACATCCATACATCCTTCTTTTTTCATTTAGAGTTAGTGAACTCCATATTGATCAATAGGATTAGGTAAAAGAGATAGTGTAATCAAAGTTTAAATTTTTGCAAGAAAAAGCATCCATATTTAAGGACTGATCGTGATAATGGTGCACAATAGGGGAAAAAAAAGGCACAACAACCACCAGCGAAACTCTAATGTCATAATCATTCCCCATATCCTCATCACCCAATCTTCCCCTCTCGCCAAACTATTGACTCAAGTTCGCGCGCGCACAGACGAGCAAGGTGCGAAAGGGGTAAAGAAAAGAAGGTGAACGATTTTTTTTTTTTTTTGATAAAAAGATTACTTTTTTTTCACGGAATAAAAAGATCACTTCAAATTAAATAATAAGAAGGTGAACAATTGCATGCACGTACAAGTAGCTGTGTGGAGTTCAGAGGGTTTCAAGAGGGTGAAATGTATTTATTAATAAGTCACTGACAATATCCTTTACTATAATTAAGGAAAATTTTAAGCTTTATTAACTGACTAAAAATTTAATAAATTTTGTAATTATACTTTTATTAAATATACGTACTTCAAAAATAAAATATTTTAATATTTAATATATTTATAATATTTAATAAGAGCAAAATATTAAAGATGGATACAATAATTATTAAAATATTTTATAAATAGAATTAAAATAAATATTATATTTTTTAATTTAAATAAGAGCAGGTGAATATGTATCAGAAATTGCGTGGATCTTGCAAGATGATGTTGATTTCAACGTGTGCTTAGTCTTAGATCCAAGATAATAAATTAGAGGCATGCTTTTCAAACCAGAAACGGACCTGCGGATGGGATGGAAATGTAGGCGCTACGGACAAGGGTTGATAGCTTTGACTAAGATGCGCTCATTTATTTGTCGACGATGATTTATCGCTGCTGCATGATATGTTGTTCAAGTTTCTCCTGCCTCGTGGATTCCTTGACACATCCAGTCATTCGCTCTTCTTCCCAGTAATGCATAGCAAATATCTTATTACCAAAGTTAGCATTTCACCCAAATATATGTGTACGTGCATGCAATTGTTAGTTGGATTAGTTTAATTTAATATCATAATATTTAATATTATAATTTAATTTTAAAATTTTATATAAATTAAACTAAGGTCTCAATTATTTAAAAAATAAATAAAAGATTTAAAAGTTTAAATATATGTTAGTTGATGCTATCAAAATTTACAACAAAGTTTTAAAAATAAAATATACGAGGCATATTGATATAATTTTTACAAAATAAGATGAAGGATTAAAATTTTCAAATCAAATTAAAATCTTAAAATGAATATCAAAAGGCAAGAGGGAGAGGCAAGTCGAAGAGATGAAGAGAGCTAGAGGGCAAGCAAAGTGCTGGGAAGAAATAGAAAAAAAAATAATTAAAAATATTACAATGATATTGCAGATTTAAAGATCGAAGATATTTTACTCTCATATTAATTACATATATTTTATTTTATTGTTATCTTTCAACATTTATTATTATATTTTCAGTTGTTTTTATCTTTTTATTTAATTTTAAAATATTTATGATTTTCATACATTTATATTTAGGGTTGGGTTGAGACCTATAAATAGCATCTCAACTCATTTGATTTGAACGCACATTTAATTGAATAAAAATTACTATTATCTTGTCTCTTCTGTAAGTTTTCTTTTCTCTCTATTCTCTCCATTGACTCCTTTCTTTCTTTTCCATATTATCCCCCCCTTCTCCTTCCTCGTTCTACATCACAAAGTGACAAGAGAGAAAGGCGAGACAGCTAGAGAAAAGGAGAAGGTGAGAAGAAGTTGAGTTAAGAAACAGCAAGATGGGAAGAGTTTTTTTTTCCCATTTTTCAAATGTTGCCTTTTAAAGTAGGAGGGGAAAAATAGAATAAGACTTAGTGAGTCACCCAAACCTGAGTCTTTTTTAAGATTTATTAGGATCAAGTCCAAAAACTCGATTATCCTAAAAATCTCTCATTTTTTAAGCTTAAACTTTTATTCCAACAGGACCTCCAAATCTTAAAAATCTTGATTATTCTAAAAATCCTAAAAATCTTGATTACCCTAAAAACTTTCTACTATCTTTTTTTTTCTTTTATTTGTTCACAAATATTTTTTTATTAAAAACAATCATATTTAAAATATAATCAAATACTAAATATAAATATATATCTTAATAAAAATTTAAATATTAATTTGTCATGTTGCAAACGATCAGTCTCTCCTATTGATACCTCATGTTACCTTTTCTGTTTTGGAATTACCTCATGTTACCTTTTTGCCGTGTCCACTTGAAATTAATTATGAGTATTATGAACAAAAAAATTAAAAGAATGGCAGGCATGAATTTGAGGCCCAAAACGATTATCAATTACCCAAAAATAATAGGCCCATTGAAAGACGAATAAAAAAGTGACCCATCTAAAAAGAAAACAGATGAGAGGCAAGAAAGGGGGGCAAAAAACAGTATAGCTCCGCAAAACCCTGCGCTGAGAAACCTCAGAGTGGCTGGTTTCTGTGTTCCAGGCTCTTCTTCGTTGGTTTGACAATGGCGGGTGGCCGATTCCGTCAGATCGTGAAGAAGTATGGAAAAGTTGCGCTTGGAGTTCATTGTTCTGTCTCTGCTGTCTCCATCACAGGCCTCTTCATTGCAATCAAGAATAACGTTGATGTTGAATCTGTTCTTGACAAGTTCCATGTAGGCGGTGTCTCCCCCAAAGACGATGATCATAAACCGACAATTCCTTTTAGAGAAGCTGATGGGTCTGCGGTGCTCAACGAGACGCCTGCATCGGCACCGATGACCCAAGAGAAGACGAGGAATCGGACGGCTGAGCTCGCGGCCTCCTCAGGCGGGGCTTTCGCCTTGGCTTTGCTCTGTAACAAGGCTCTCTTCCCCATTCGAGTTCCCATCACCATTGCCTTAACGCCTCCTATCGCGAGGTTCTTGGCCAAGAGGAATATTATCAAGGCTGGTTTTTGAGTTCAGTCAGTTCTCTCTCTCTGATTGTTCCCCACTGCCTCTTTTGATTTAAGGAAAGATTGTAGACGTTGTAGCGCCAGATTATGGGATTGATTTCAGTATTGGATTTTGGTCGACATTGATTTTAATGTGTCATATTACTATTGTGTAATAATAGAACCAGAACTAGAGTGAATGATTTTGCTCTAAATGAGGCGAGAAAACAAATAACAAAAAGCATATAGATGCTCCCTTGTCTGAGCTTCCTTTTCTGCAGAAGCGGGTTTTCACCGTGCGGCAGTTTGTAAACAGTTACTTGATAGGATGACTAGTTTTAGCACTGCTCTTTGTTGTGAAATACTAAAATTTTTTTGGTATGGCGATTCAGGTTACAAGCATATCTGCCATTGGAAATAGCAATCCCTGATTGCCTTACTGCATTCTACCTAACAGTGAACTCTGCTTCTGAACACCGGACAAAGCCAGCCAAGCACCATTTTTTTGAGCTACTTCATCATTTACTTTCTTTTCTCCTAAACCCCAGTCCTTATATATAAGTTGCCATTATTTTTACACAACGAAAATCGGGAGTAGAAGAGAACAAATAATCATTAGGCAATGTTAACTAGATGGAAATGTATTTAAAAAGAAAAAAGAAAATGAGAAAATGATACAGGTTCATTTTTCAATTTCTTTCTGAAAAATACGTTTCTTCCTTGTATTAGTATCTCGGTAAATAGGCCGTTGAAAAATGTTGCTTCGGTGGTCACTGTGTTATTCGGATCACTTTAGCTTGAAGAGCAGCCACTCTTTCTGGAGATGCACATCAGGAATACCAAAAAAAAAAAAAAAATGCCTCTAGTGTGACAACACTACATGATAAACATAAAATGATGCAGGTGACGTTGGCCTAGCTTTGGGCGATCGTTCAAGGGATGAGACTAACTGCTGAAATGGGCATCCTTCGCGTCTCCAACATCAACTTTTAGTTATTAGTTTACTTATTCACATATACTCGGGCACTCTAGTTTTCCCTGAGGCCATTAGCCGAGCAATTCATTTGCTTCAGTTCGGGACGGTTACCAATTTTTATTTTTGTTTTACTTTTTTAATCAATTCAAAAAAATCGCATTCGTGTTCGTTTTTTGAAACAAGGTTGGAAGCAGGCACTTATTTCTTCGTTTTGGTTCGAAGGTGTTGTGGCTTCAAGTGGAACCATAAGGTATTCATAATAGAGCTAGGTGCTGCTATATCAATATGGTGATCAAAATGTTAAACTTTGACAGTTAAATCAGTTTCCCACCTCGTCACTACTCTTAAATTATGTTTGTATGTATTCTTACACATTATTGATCAGAAATATGGTTTCTATGGATCATAAACTTGTGGTCAAGCTCGAAATCTTTACTCCAATACATCATAAAAACTGAGTGCCTCTACATTGAATCGAATACCTTGCGTGCATGAATTGTGGCCAAGGGTTTTGATTTATTTGAGCCCTACACTCTACCAAAACCTAAGCTAATAACAGCAACAACAAAGCTCCCAATGACTTGTGTTTAAAAAATAGAAATGCATAAATGTTAGAACCTGATTTGAAAAAGTTGAAGCTGACAGAAAATGATACAAGTGTGGTGAAGGCTGGCATAAATGACCCTGGCGGTGTCACCAGAATCAGGGAGGCGACTTTGTCATCTTCGACATTAACTTCCAGGAGGAAGCTTCCCATCGTTGTTGGTGGGTCTAACTCATACGTTCATGCTTTGCTTGCCAACCGATTCAACCTTGGAGAAAACTTAATTAGGTGCTTGCCATCAAATCGAAATTTGTGGCTTGCATTCCTTGAGTTTCGTTTTTGGGTCATTTTGGTCGAGCTTAGTTGGTCGAGCTTTGCTGCTCCTCAGGGTATTGTGATTTTCATATACTCTGGACATCTCTTCATATTTGTTCTTCATATGTGCTGCTTCATCTTCTACACTTCACGCATCAAATAGTGAGGTGGAGGTTGCGATCATTGTCAAGGCGGGAATGAGAGAGGGCATGATCGTTGATGAAGGGAAGGTGAGAGGTGACAATGAGTCGAAAAATTTTGATCAAACAAATTGATTTGACAGCCTAAGTTAATATTTTTTGAATGATAATAACATTGTATTATTTTTAAATATTGAAAGGAGACAGTGCATTGCAAAATAATAATAATAATAAGATAATGCAGTGCATTACAAAATAATAATAATAATAATAATAATAATAATAATAATAATAATAATAATAAGAAGAAGATAATATATGTTCTTGCATTAATAATTGAAAGGCAAAATAACCTATTCTATAAAGGTTTTAAGCAATACCAAATCCATTGTAGAGGAATGAAGAGGATTCCCCCAAGTTATATTCAAATAATCAGATCCTCACAAGCACAAGGCAATCAATCAATCAATTCAAATCACCCGCCACCACCACCCCCAACAAAAAAAAAAAAAAAAAAAGAAGAAGAACATTTTTTCCTTCTTGTCCTCGGAATGAAAAAAACAAATAGGCAAAAGCACGATCAACCAAAGTAACATCTTTCTTCACCAGGTGATGAAAAGTGTGATTTCCTAGCCTCTGCTAGTAATTGCTTCTCTTATAATAGCAACCACCTGCTATCCGGACAAGACCCACCAATTCTGTTTTTATGTTCAATATGCTCCAACAAATGAATTTGCTAGTTTTAGACAAGGGAAATGAGAAGGTTCCAACGTGATCAATGCAAATATACACGAAATAAGAGAACCTTTACATTTCTCAGTACCTTCTTCAAAATTTTAAATGTGGGTAACCTGTTGAAATTAAAGAGATACTGTATCTTTACGATTTAAATTCACGCTGACTCTTTCAGATGCTTAAATTCCTCACAGTCGGCTCCAACCTCACTTATTGCCAAGAAAAGCTTTGGCATTATCTTGGCTAACCCCAGCTTGAAACCAAGAGAAGTTGAATTCTGATCGGTCTTGTCACTGGCAGACGCATCTCTTGTCAGAGAACCAATCAAGTAACCTTTCATGTATGCATCACAAGCCTTAAGGATATAATGGCCACGCCTCCTGAAATGTTCCTTGATGAGCACTTCGAAGTCCTAGAAATTTCATCAGCACGATAACGGTCAAATTATATTAGCACAATCAAAATAAACTACAGGATCCACGCCCAAAGATTCACGACATTAAATCCACAAAGTTTATGCCACTCTAGTATTGTAGATACTTCAAAATTTTCATCGCATCAAATAGAAACTTTGCATTCAAAAACATCACAAAATGCCACAATGAGCAGAACAATTCGAAAAGTAACTCCAAAAAAAAGTTCATCCTTGTATTCTGTTAATTCAGACATTAGTTGATTTTTATACTTGCGTTGCTTTGCAATACCCAAAAGCTGCAAGAGTTGTTGACTGGTATCAAGCACAGATTACAACCTAATCAAGGTACCAAGTGGGCATAACACAATAGTCCATTATCTAATCTTAATACAGTAGGAAAGAGTTTCCCGTACGGTGATGAGATTGAGCAAAACCTACAAGGTCTAAGAATGCTTCAAGAGATATTAAAAAGGTATTTTATACATCTTATTCATAATTACCTTGGGGGGTCTCCGCATAAGATACATAATTGTCCTGCAGTTATCTAAAAACGTATGTTCATTGTATGACAATGAATTTTTCTCTCCTTCAACTGTTCCAATCTGCTTGTCATATCCAGCCTCATTGAAGTATGGCTTTGAGTTGAGTACCAGCCCTTGGAGTGAAACCAGGACTTGAAGAATGCTGGAAGATTTAGGATCCCATACTTCATTTCCTTTGCCTGTCCATGTATTTAGAAGGCTTAAACACACTTTCCCTTCCTCATATAAGTTAGGGTTGATTCGCAAACCACCAGAATGGTAGTATGCTGACTGCAGCATTCAAGAAATCGTTAAAAAGCACACATATTTTAGTAAACTCCAACAAATTGAATAAGCAAGTTCTATTAACTATCCTGGACGACCAAAAAAAGTAAATAAATTATAGCACAACTTACGACTTTAAAATATGTATTCCTTACCGGTGGAACATCAGGATACTCTGATGGAAGGTGAAAATCAAAGAAAAAAAGACCATCTTGGTAAGGGGTCCCAAATGCCCCAACTATAACTGCCCTCAAGAGATCCATCCGATCTTCATAAACTCGTACATAGATCCCATCTGTCAAATTTTTTTCAATTGTTTACATACTGAAATGTGAAATCAATAAACTTTGAACTTTGAATAGTTTCAGTTACTATCACTTACCTGGCAGGTTATTCTGCAGTATGCTCCAATCTTGCTGGACTTTCTTAAACCATTTGCGACTTTTAATCTAAAAGTGCATAAAAAATCATGTAGCGGTGTTGGTATGATATAACGGAGAAAATTACAGTCAAAAGAAAGAAACAAAAGAATTAAATGTATTTACACAGTAGTATGATTGAATAGCTGCTGATAGGATTAATACTCTATTTAAATCTTTGATGTCAAATATAGAAAGCTCCATAAATATTACTCTTCAATCAACATTTTTGTCCACACATGACCTTGTCTGTGCATCCGTGTGTGTCTCAACTCAATATTCATCAAAAGAAAATAATTATGAAACTAGAAAGATCCTATGTCATTTTATCTTATCCTGACTCGAATGTCCTGTAGCTATCAACGTATCAGAAATAAAGCAAAGCAATACCTGTCCATTTGCGCCAATAAAATAATGGTCTGCAGGATCTCGAGTGATATCAAAGCGTTTGAAAATGCAATCACTGTCGAAACTTGCTGGAGCATCTTCAGTCCTCAAGCCGCATAAAGTCTCAGAAGGTTCTGTAGTAATGTTTTCGTCACCCTTTTCAGTTATATTTTCTGAATCATCACTGCCGACGAGTATAGGTTTCTGAGAACTAGATTCATCACTAACTTCTATTGCCTCAGAAGCTTTTGTAATTCCCTCTGATGGAAGCTCACTTTCATGTTTTGATTGCAAGTGAACCGGGTCTACATTTCTTTGGCCACGTGAGAATATTCCAGTGGCAAGTCTAGTAACAAATCGGAATGCAGCTAGGGGAACAGAAAGTGCTGCAGCAGCACCAAAGTCATTCT